TGGGCCCTAAAGCTCAAACCCGGATCACCTATAATTACCTAAGGAAGATTAGTCATCGCCTCTTCATGACCGTTCCTTCTTTTTTGGCGTTTTAGGGCCATAAAACTGGAATTCCGCCCGATTCCCAGATTTTCATGTGTTATAGCCCACGCCATCGGCATTGGCTCAAGCACCCGAATCCGGATCGCCTAATATATTTCCGACCCATAAAAAAGACCTAAGGAACATTAGTCATCGCCTCTCCATGACCGTTCCTCCTTTTTGGCGTTTTAGGGTCATAAAACTTGAATTTCACTCGATTTCCAGATTTTCGAGTGCTGTAGCTTGGCCCGGGCACCCAGATCTGGATCGCCTAATTTTTTTAGCCCATAAAAAATGACCTAAGGAACATTAGACATCGCCTCTCCATGACCGTTTCTCCTTTTTTGAAGTTTTAGAGCCATAAAATTGGAATTCCACCTGATTCCCATATTTTTGTGTACTATAGCCCAGCCCACCGACGTTGGCCCGGGCGCCCGGATCTGAATTGCCTAAATTTTTTCGGCCCATAAAAATGACCTAAGGAACATTAGTCATCGCCCTGCCATGACATTTCCTCTTTTTTGGCGTTTTATGGCAATAAAACTTGAATTCTGTCCGATTTTTATATTTTTGTGGGCTACCATGCCACCGGCGTGGGCCAAGGCGCTTGGACCCGGATTACCTAAAATTTTATCGACCCATCAAAAATAACCTAAGGAACATTATTCATCGCCTCGCCTTGACAGTTTCTCCTTTTTGGCGTTTTAGGGGCATAAAACTTAAATTCCGCCCAATTTCCAGATTTTCATGTGCTATAGCCTACGCCATCGGCGTGGCCCGGGCATCCGAACTCGGATCGCCTAAAAATTTTTCAGCCCATCAAAAACGACCTAAGGAACAATAGTCGTCGCTTCGCCATGACCGTTCCTCTCTTTTTGGTGTGTTAGGGCCATAAATCTGGGATTTCGCCCGATTCTCACATATTCGCCTGGACCCGGATCGGCTAAAATTTTGTCGACGCATCAAAAACGACCTAAGGAACGTTATTCATCGTCTCTCCATGCTCGTTCCTCCTTTTTTGGCGTTTTAGGGCCATAAAATTGAAATTACGCCAGATTTTGAGATTTTCTTGTGTTATAGCCCACGCCGGTGGCATGTGCCTTAAAACAGAAATTTAGGATGATTTCCAATTTTTCGTGTGCTAATGTCCACGCCATCGTCATTAATTCAGGCGACGAACTCCGAATCGCTTAAAATTTTATGGGTCCATCATAAACGACCAAATGAACAATAGTCATGGCTTCGCCGTGGCTGTTCCTCATATTTTATCGTTTATGGCCATAAAACAGGAACTCTAGACGATTTTTAATTTTTTGTGTGCTAATGTCAACATCATCTCCATGAATTCGAACGACGGGCTCCAAGTGGCCTACAATTTTCTGGGCCCATCAGAAACGACCTAATGAACAATTGACATTGTTTCGCGATGATTGTTCCTCGTTTTTTAAAGTTTTAGGGCCAAAAAATAAAATTTTAGGAAGATATGCAATTTTTTGAGTGAAATTCAAAAATAGCCAGATTTACAAGTGATAATTATAAAATAGCAATAGTTTCAAAAGTAATCAAAATTTAGCAACTTTTCATGTAAAGATAAATCTGAACAAAAATATTGTTCAAAATCCGAAAAATATTCCAGCATAATATACTGGAGTTCCAGCATAATATACTGGAATTCCAGCATAATATACTGGTCCAGCATAATATGTTGGAATCTAATACACAGGTGCTCCAATCTCCAGCATAATATGCTGGAAATTCATACACAGGTGTGCCAATCTTCAGTATATTATGATGGAACTTTTCGTATTGCAGCAAAATAGTGGCTATTTTTCAATGACTTTGCAAACGCTGACTATTTTTCAATTACCAGCCCGAAAACTGGCTACCCCGTGTTATTTTCACCAGTTTTTTGCCTCTGCCTCTCATTGGAACCACAATAGCCAACCTAAAAATTATGTAAGGCCAAGTTCAAATTCTAGAAATGTCAAAAAAAAAAACGATTTCTTTGTGGATGCATTGGCAATATTAACCTCCATGACAAACATTCATGAGGGAAAATACACCCAATCAGGATAGAATAAGGATTTGTTTAAAACGCGCATAAACCGACTCAAATACCACAATTGAAAAAAGAAAAAGAAAAATATCGCATTTTAGAGTTTCAAAAGAATATAATTATTAGGAAACCAAAAGAATATTGTTGCAGAGCCCTAATGGATTTGCCTTTGTCCTCATTGATCAAAACTAGTTTGTACTTATTCTGTTTTATTGCCAAATTTGAAAATGGACCAAACAAGACTGCAAAATTGAAAAAGGAAACAAGCTTAATGAGATGGACAAATAGTTTATCTGACATATTTTGTAGGTTACCATTTTTCATGTTTTTTTTAATTATTTATATTAATTCCAAACATGTTGCTATTATATATCACTTATATCCAATTAGTTATCGTTTAGGTCTCTTGAGACAATTTTCCTGTACACAATTTTAGGCTTTATAGTAATTATAATGTTGCTCCTATGTTCAAATCTGTGTGATTATGCTTTTCTTGAGCCCCTTGAGCCGATAGTCTATCAGAAAGAGCTTATTTACCTTCACTGTTAAGGTTTACGTACATTTTATCTTCCCCAAATTCCACTTATAAACTTACACTGAGTATGTTCTTGTTGAATAATGTTGCACCTACAAACATGAGCATTTGGAGATCTAAGTGAGATATAGCTAAATCATCATCAAAGGTGTCTCATCTTTATTTTGCATGACTAATATAAGTGCACCTTTTTATCTTGGTCTATAATCCAAGGCAACGGGGAGATTGACGAGAATGTTACTCGCCACATTGGAGTGGGTGAATGAGATGGAGGCCAGCTTCAGGGGTTTTATGCGATAAAAATGTGCCGCCTAGACTTAAGGGCAAATTCTACAGGGTGGTGGTTGACCAGCTATGTTATATGGAGCTGAGTGTTGGCCCGTCAAGAAGTCCCATGTCCAAAAGATGAAAGTAGTTGAAATGAGGATATTGAGATTGATATGTGGACATACCATGAAAGACAAGATTAGGCATGAAGTTATTAGGGACAAGGTGGGAATGACATCCGTGGAAGACAAGTTGTGGGAATCGAGGTTGTGATAGTTTGGGCATGTGAAGAGGAGATACATAGATGCCCTGGTCATGAGACGTGAGAGGTTGACCGTGGCGGGCTTGAGGAATAGCAGGGGTAGGCCAAAGAAGTATTAGGGAGATGTGATTAGACAGGACATGTCGGTAATTCACCTAACTGAGGACATAACTAGCGATAGGAAGGTGTGGAGGTCAAGAATTAAGGTGGTGGGTTGACAAGTAGTTGTGAGTTTCTCTTAGGTTTACCAGTAGTACTAGTAATATTCTTGTATTCTTAGTTCTTTATTACTCGTTATGCCACTCGCTTTCATTACCTTATTATATTATTGTTGTTGTTGCTTATTGCTTTATTTTTACCGTTCCTTAAGCCTATGGTCTATCGGAAACAACATCTCTACCTTTATATAGGGTAGGTGTAAGACTGCATACACATTACCCTCCCTATACCTCACGTATGAGATTAAGCTAGGTTTGTTGTTGTTGGTATAGAATTAGCATATGTATTTCTATGCACTCTCTTATCGTCTTTATCGATATGTTGGACATTAGAGGTCCTGTATTCACTGACATTATGATATTATTGGTCTTAAAATTGTCCTAGAAAACTACCTTTCACTTTGTTAGGTAACATCAATAATACATTATTGTCTGCAAACAGCATGTATCATGAAATCTCATCCTCATCTTGCATGATATTAGTTAGCTCATCTATCACTAGAAAACACAAGTATCATGCTAGTAGTTATTTTATCCAGTAGAAATGACATCGGGTAGCCACTCTAAAGGATTGCTATTTAAATATTGGCTAGTGCGTCCTGAATTTCAGTTCAATTTTTTAGGACAAAAATGTCCTGAATTGTCTTGGAGTTCAAATTTTTAGTTTAAAATTTCAGGACAAAATAAATACTGGCTAATCTCTAAATAACATCCCTGAAAATGACTATCTGTGCACTTGCCCCTCCTATCCATCACTAGAAAATGCAAGTACCTTAACAGATCATGAATTATTAACTTTCAAACAAAGCAAGTCCATAGTTATAACTGAACCTTTTTTTTACCTTCAGCCCTCAACAATCTATCCATTGAAAAGATGTGAAGCACAAAGATTTAACACACAAGCATCATCACATTCCATTTTAGAACAGCATAATGAACAAAGACAAATATCCAGCAAGAATTAGTTTCTTCAAAATATGGACATAAATGCATCGAGACATAATGAAGTTTATTAGCCACCCAGTCATAAACATGATATGCAAAGAAATCAATTTCAGAGAAAACAATGATCGATACTCGTCCTTTTAGCAGCTTCTCGTGTGAATGGTGAAACGAACACCAGTAGCAGAATTAACAGTTTCCAATGTCAGCAACACGAAGTCATTTAGCGTTATGTTATCTCTAATAACTTATCCAATAAATAACCATATGAACTCAACAGGCTTCAGCAATTCAGTTCACTAATCTCACTCAACATAGGGGAGGGGAGCTAGGGTGTAAAAGAATCACAGTCCACCATCTGTGTCATTACGCACTCAAGAAATATGCTGGTCACTTTGGGCCGGTGACCGCGCAATCTGCAGGTCCTTGGAACCAGTGATCATCCAACTAGAATGCAATATTTCATGTTTTTCTTCTTAGTAACATTAAGATTCAGAAACAGCATCAACATGCATATTCAGAATTCATTCAGGGGCTAACTGCAGCATATATATACAAGCAGATAAGCTCACTGTAGATTAGTCACGTGATATACTAGTAGGAATGCCAACGTAGGAAGTCTAGGCCCAGCATACAATCTACTGAAAATGGCATGCAGTTCTCTATTCTGAATTAACATTAGTGCAGTATGTATTCTTGCACAATTAGTCAATAATTTATGAGAATGATTTTGTAATAAGTCACGTGACATTCAAATTAGAGTTGCTGCTAAGTTACAAGTGACAGGCTATAAAAGTTTGACAATTATTAGCAAGTATGAGCTAGTTCATAGGAAAGATCATCAACAACCATTGCTTGTACCCCATATCCAAGCCAAATTTCTGGAAGCTTCCGGTGTCATGTAAAGAATTCTTCATGGTTGCCTTTTTCGTTTTCTTTCAGCACCAGAGTGACACATAATGATTGGAAAGCACATTTAATCCCTGTTACACACATATGTATATATGAAAAAATAAAATTCCTCGCCTTCTCCCATTTTGTCAATATCCATCTTTTAGTGAAGATTTCAGAGCATTTTTATGCTTCTTGTATTTTGAGTTTTATATATTATAGGAAAGCGTCTAGAACTTGAATGAATAATTTGCATATCGCAAATTCAAATTGTTACATTTTGGCCTTCTTTATATTGATATATTCCTCAAGACAAGCAAAAGTCTAAACATTGAAGAGAGCAATTTTAGTTGAAAAAACACCATATAATTTTGTGTTTTAAAACTACAACCTACTCTAAACTTTGTGGGACCAGCAGATATACCTGGAACACGTCCATTTGAAAGATCAGAACAGAAATATAGAGATGTTCATAAATGGATCAAGGTGTCTTAACAGTTATGATCTTTCTGCAGGAAAAATTTTCTCGTGAACGCAATACTGTATGTCCTTGATAACATTAAAATTCAAAGCAGCATTTAAATATGAGTTTCAGAATTGGTTTCGGTATTGAACTGCGGTCTGCGCATATAAGCTCACTGCAGACCGGCTCATAGGAACCTTTGGCAGATTAATACCAAAAATAAAAAGTCTAGACCCCGCAACCAATATGCTGAAAGTGACACGCAATGTATGTTCTGATCTAACCTAAGCAGAATTTGCCTACCTGGCACAACTACCTAACGCTATATGACAACGATACTATAAGTACATGATATTTAGTTTATAGTTGCTTTTAAGGTACAGATGAAGTGATGAATAGGGTACAAAGTTTTGAGCTAATATTGCAGATATCAGCTCTCATAGGAAAGGTTGGTATCGGAATAGGAACTAATAGTATGACCTCACTTATGATGTTAGACTCGAGCAGATACCCCTACGGTCAATTTACAAGTATTTCTTGCACCCCCACATTCCAAGAGCTAAATTACTGGAAGTGGAAGCTTCCTGTGTCATGCCAAATAAATCTGTGTGGTCGCCCTTTATCACTTTCTTTCAGTACTAGAGTGATACAGAATGTTTGGAAGAGGACATTTTCTCTCTATAATGCACATGTGCGCCAACTACATGTTGAATTCCACAACTTACAAAGTCTAACAAAAGGAAGTACGTACACTCTTTCTAAATAAATGAACATCTGTTTGTAGATGCAAAAGATAAATTTCAATACCAAACAAAAAACTAATATCTTTACACCAAGATGGATTTCCCACAAATGGTTAAAAGAAACTCTTAGTGTGTAAAATAGTTATTTACATTCTCAACTAGTTTATCACCAACCAGAAGTAGAATTCAATACAAATTGCTCCGTGCTTTTAGACATTTCATAATGAACTATTCCAATATTCGACATGGATTATTGAGAGCAGCACATTCAATATAAATAGAGCTGCGGAAAAAATAATTAACATACATAGTAATCAAACCAATACAAAAGATAATCAATAATTCAACTAAGCTTCCATAAGCTTATCATAATAATCTTTGAGCAATGTAACAAACAAGAATAACAATCTCATATCTTGCAGTTAAAAAAATAACACAGGGAAACATTCAACAATCACCTGAACTACTGCTTGCCATAATTCTCCAAATACCATTTATAGGTATCAACAAGACCATCCCGAAGCGAAATCTTGGGTGTCCATCCCAATCCAACAAGCTTTGAAGTATCCATAAGCTTCCTTGGTGTCCCATCCGGCTTAGTCGAATCCCAAATCAATTCACCTTTAAACCCCACAACTTCCTTAACTAACTCAGCTAATTCCTTTATAGTAACTTCACTCCCACTCCCAACATTCACATGTTCTAAATCACTGTAATTTTCTAACAAAAATATCACTGCATCAGCTAAATCATCCACGTGTAAAAATTCCCTCAAGGGTGAACCTGTCCCCCACNCCACGTGTAAAAATTCCCTCAAGGGTGAACCTGTACCCCAAACAACAACCTTATCTAGGTTGTTAATTTTTGCTTCATGAAACCTACGTAATAATGCAGGTAAAACGTGTGAATTCTCAGGGTGAAAATTGTCATTTGTACCGTATAAATTTGTCGGCATTGCTGAAATAGCATCAAAATTATGTTGTAGCCTATAAGCCTGACACATTTTGATACCGGCAATTTTTGCAATAGCGTACCATTCGTTTGTAGGTTCTAAAGGAGCAGTTAAAAGGGCATTTTCGGGAATTGGCTGAGGTGCAAATTTAGGGTAAATACATGAGGAACCGAGGAACAGAAGCTTTTGGACTTTGTGATTGAATGACGAAACGATGACGTTTGTTTGGATTTGGAGATTTACAGTGATGAAATCTGCTGGATATGTGTTGTTTGCGTGTATGCCACCGACTTTAGCGGCGGCGAGGATGACGTATTGAGGTTTCTCGGCGGCGAAGAAGGATTCGACGGCGGATTGGTTTGTGAGGTCGAGATCGGAATGTGTGCGGAGGAGGAGATTTGTGTAGCCTAATTGGTGGAGTTTTCGGACTACGGCGGATCCGACGAGTCCGCGGTGGCCGGCGACGAAGATCTTGGCGGATGCGTCTATCGGCATTTTTTGTGTGTGGACTCAGATTTCGGTGTGTGTGTGTGTGAAATGAAATGGACTAAGCTCGAGAGGAAGGAGCTAAATAATGCAAAAAAATATTATAAAAATAAGAAATAATTAGATAAATAAGAAAATAAAATTAAGATACAAAGTTTGTTTAGTTTCTTTTATAATCATGTGATATTCAAAATTATTGGTTCGGCTAATTTGACTTTGCAATGCATACGATTTATTAAGGAGGAATTGCTTTATATTAAGAATCTTTTCATTGTCAAATCAAAACTTCAATTAGAGTTCGAAATCAGAGCGGAGAGATCTCATTCATCCCACATTTGAAAGAGTAATTTTGTTCCGTCAATACAACTTATCGAGTTATCAAGCTGAACTGAATCATAAATTTCTAGAATTGGGAATAATTTTTTTGAGGAATTAAAGTTTTAAATAATAAGTAAAAAGGGTAGCCCGGTGCATTAAGCTCCCGCTATACGTGGAATTCGGGGAAAGATCGGACCACAAGAGTCTATCGTACGCAGTCTTACCCTGTATTTCTGTAAGATGATATTTCCACATCTTGAACTCGTGACCTCCTAGTAACAACTTGTAAGAAATAATAGAGCATTATTTAGGAAATAAACCAAGAAAATATATCGATTCATTCAATGAAAAGCAATTGGGCAATAAAAAGATGCTTTTTTTATAATTATGTAGTAAAATTTTAAGATTAATTTTAATTTTTATTTACTAAAATTTTGATGAGTGAAACATTTGACCTTACTACAAAAGATAGGACATGAAAAGTGTATTCTACGGTCAAACTTCTCTATAACAACCTCGTTTGTTCCAGATATTTTTGGATGTTATAGCGAATTGCTGCTATAGAAAACGTATATTATAACAGAATATGAAATTTGATTCCGAAAAAACTTGTCTTTTATAGTGAAGTGGTATTATATATGGATGTTGTTATAGAGATGTATGACTGTATTATCTAAAGAAAGGTATTAAATTATCCAAAATATTTCCATTTTTTGCGTTTTAAGTGGGTCATGTACAGATAATATTTCGCCTTTAATATACTTGAAATTGTGGTACGCCTAATCCAATTTAGTTGGATTAAGCTAATTATTCATATTTAATTGATTAAATGTATCTTCCAAATAATTGAATGTATACTAATTGGGTAAGTAAGTGTAACATTTAAGATTGTGGAAACTATCATATCATATACTTTGGAAAAAAAAGAGTTAAACACTTTTTCACAATCCGAATCAAATAATTTTACTTTAGCAATTATCAATTTACGTGAGAGTACATAATTCAATCATCATTAAAAAATAAATAGGTGTATGAAAGACAAATATTTTGCATACGTTGGCTTTAGTAAAAATATCGAGTCCATTTAAATTTTCAGTATCAGAAAAAGAGTATCTAAATTATGAATATTTTTAACACTCTTTTCATAAATTCATGATACATTTTAGCCATGATATGTGAAGCATATTTAAAATTGCGATTGGATACTATAAATACAGTGATAAAGCCAATGTAGAGACACTAATTTCAAATGAATGTTCAGAATATATTCAATTGAAAAACAAATATTGACAGGTAAAAAAAAATTCCAACATTGTTATATTTGCTTTCTTTTACACATATTATTTGGCAATATGAGTCACTTATGCAATTGTTAATTTCCAAAAAATAATGGCTACTAGTATGCAATGGAATATGCTAAGAAAAAAGGAATCAGATGTATGTGGAATATATTCTCCTAATTTGGATTGAAAGGATTAAATATAAATATTGCCATTGATTTAATTTCCATTAATCGATAGCTCGCTCTTCTAGTTTTGAATGCCAATTCAATTACCTCTTATAATATTTATATTTGACGGGACGATAACCTCTTTTGAGATAACCTCGGATTGTTATTGAGTTTAAGTTATATATATTGACGGGTAAAAAAAATTCACCCCATAAATGTAATTTGACCTGTTAAATTAGGTTACTCATTATTAACTATAAGTTATCAATCAATACTAATGAATTATATGCACTTAACTTTTAAATGATCGAGACGAGCAACTGATATCACTATAGCAATGAATTTTACACTTTGTAGGTCCGACTAAAATACTCCAAATACTACTACAATACTCAAAAGAAATAACCCTCTTTTGATATTCCCACATCACTACAATATCGCTCACTCTCTATTTTTCTCACGGACTATTTTCTTATACCCTGTCTGTGAAACCTCACTCTTTCTTTCTCTCTTTGTTGGTGTGTAGAAATGAGAATTGAAGCTCTCCTTTTATAGCCGAAGCCTCGCTCTCTAAAGCCTACTATATTTGACAATGTGCACACACTTTTCCTTCTTTTTCTTCAATGTTGACACTTCAACAAAATTGGCTATCAAATCAAAGAAATTCAACAAAGTTGGCTACCAAACCAAGAAATTCTCGCCAAATATTTTCCTTAGGCACATGCCTATTACTTTGGCTTTTGAATGAGATGAACCCCATCAATCTCCCTCTCCAGTACCATACAGAAAAGAGCCGGTGGATGAAAGCCATGCAAGAAGAGATGGAATCTCAGCAGAAAAAAGCACAGATTCCATCTCTTCTATGTTATATGGTTTACAACATAGTTATAGTGATTATTTAATAACTATAACTATGATGTAAACCAAATAATCCATTCTATATGTAAGATGTAGACCATTATACAACCTAAAATGGAAGTCTCGGATCTCCCACAATAAACTAACACGTTATTCAAATCATAGTTTTCCTGCTCATGACTCCCATAAATATTTTCAACTTCAACCATTTAAGATAAGCTGAAACTTCAACCATATGCTTGGACAGCCCAGTGCACAAAGCATCCCCATTCATGCAGGATTCGAGGAAGAACCGTACCCCAAGGAGTGTGATGTAGACAGTCTACCCTAATACAAGTATTACTAGCTGCTTTTACTACTCAGAACATGTGACTTATAGGTTAAACGAAGACAACTTTACCATTCCTCCAAGGCTTCCCTTCTTCAACGTTATACTTACGCTATATTGAAATAAGGCAATGAAATGAAAAGATATACATCTTTTACAATGAGGATTCTATCACAATTCAGAAGAATGAGAATCAATGCTCATATAACTATGTTCAAAATGGGCACATGACAGTATAAATCAATGTATCTGTGGCCAAATGTAAGAGCTTCATACAACAAAAAAATCATTGTTCCTTTTTTCCCTTTTTCCCCAGTGGCTAACTTTTCGATTATTGCATTTAGTGGAAATAGCAATATACAAAAACAAATGATCAAATAAAAGAATAGGCTAACATGTATTCAATTTAATGATCGTTAGGCAAGACGTAGATGTTCTCTTGCGTTTCGTACCCCAACGGATGTCCAGCGTCGTCACAATTTTCTTTTTGCTACCCAAATAGCCTTGACAATTCGAAGCTCCACAATTGCACTTCACTTCTGGTCCAAACTGCACAAATCTGCGTACAAGAACAAATCGGACCTCTTATTCGGATTGAAAAGCAGAATGTATGTTGCAGATTGAGCTAATGCACATGTTGTAATTCTTAAAATTAATACTATATACTACTTGGAAACATGAACATAACATTGTCTGCCTCATGTTGTACGTTAGGACTACAAGAAAATACTACCACAACTTTGGTGAAATAAAACGATATATCAAACAAAATCACATATGACATAACCGGAAGCTTCCTCTATGAAACTTACAAACACGCCACATATCACAGAAAATGATATGGCCAAATAGTCTTGGATAAACAGGAGATTTCTTCATTGCCATTTGGCTCATACCAATCAAATCAACATATATTATTATGTATAACGACAAAAGGTTAAAAGATAACTTGGAGGTATCGCCACACTTTAGATAGACAAGAAGAATACAAGGAGACTGGGATGCAACTCCTTCCTATTTTAAATTTGAGAACATGTGGCTACAAGAAGAAGGATTCCTAGACAAGCTGAAAAACTGGCGGCAAAGTTACACTTTCACAGGTAGTGCAGACTTCATTCTCCTACAAAAGCTGAAAAACTTGAAGAAGGACATCACTACTTGGAACAAGGAAGAGTTTGGGAAGATAGAAACCAGAAAAACCAAGGCACTAGATGAACTCATGGCATTGGAGCAGGCGGCAGAAAGAAGGCAGCTGACTTTATCCGAATCCACCCAAATATTGAGTCTGAGAATTGAAATACAACAGATAGCCAAATCAGAAGAGATATCATGGAGGCAGAAATCCAGGTGCCTGTGGTTAAGAGAAGGAGACATGAACACGAAATACTTTCAAAAGATGGCCAATTCACAAAGAAGAAAGAACCACATAGACAAACTTTTGGTTGGTGATGAAATCATAGAGGACAAAGAGGTGATAAAGAAGGAAACACTGAAATTCTATGAAAAGCTATACACTGAGCAAGAAAGTTGGAGACCTTCTGCCAATTTTGAAGGTATAGCATCCATCACAGATAAAGAGAGGAGCGATCTGGAAGCTCCCTTCGCTGAATACGAGGTGTTAGTAGCTATACAGTCAAGTGCTCCAGACAAAGCACCTGGACCTAATGGATATACAATGGCCTTCTACCAGAAGTTCCTTGCAGCTATGAGTCATTACCATCAGCAATGTCGGATGGTTAGATCATGCAATGCTTCCTTCATTGCATTGATCCCCAAGAAAATTGGAGCACTGGAGCTTAGAGATTACAGACCAATTAGCCTCATTGGCAGTGTATAAAAGATCATAGCTAAGGTATTGGGAGAAAGATTGAAGAAAGTTGTGGAAAAATTGGTCTCAAATCAACAGAATGCATTCATTAAGGGAAGGCAGATTACAGATGCTTCACTGATAGCAAATCACTCTCTCAAGTCAAAATGCCTACTTGAACTTTTTTGCTGGACAAAACTGTCCCCTATACTTTGTACTGGTCATTTTTGAACTTTCTTAGTACTCTTGTCCTAGATTGACACTTTGTACAGGGCCTAGCTTCTCCTTTTTGTTTTTGCCTTTGTAACTAGGCCT